AAAAATGCTCGACATTAGTACACACACACACACACACATATGGGTAAATTTATATAAATAGGGTGCTTTAGGAGGAATGATCAGGATTCTAGGATATGATTGTACACATCATTTTAAGCAAAGAAGTTTAGATAAACATGTTTAATAATTGTTCTATTCCGGTCATAAAAAATATACAAAAATGAATGATATAATCTCTAAAAACTCACCTTTAAAAAAAGGTAAAAAAGGCGACCAGTTAAGGGCACGCCATTAACAAAAATTATCCATTGCAAACCCATGTAGAATCCTATCCTATTGCAAACCCATGTAGAATCCTATGAAAAATTAATCATTGCAAACCCATGTAGAATCCTAGGCAAAATTAACCATTGCAAACCCATGTAGAATCGTACCCATTGCAAACCTATGTAGAATCCTATGAAAATTAACCATTGCAAACTCATGTAGAATCCTATGAAAAATTAACCATTGCAAACCCATGTAGAATTGTATTAAAATTATCCATTGCAAACTTATGTAGAATCCTACATTGCAAACCCATGTACAATAGAATTGTATGAAAAATTATCGATTATAAACCCATGTACAATCGTAACAAAAGTAATGAAATAAAAAAAAATTGCGCCAAGTGAAAGTAGAAACTTGTACCAGTGGAAAATTAAAGTTGCAGACATATATAGAGTCGTATAATGAATCAGTAAAAATTTAAATTTGCAAATGTAGAATCGTACCATAAAAAAATTTATCTTTTAAAAAAAAAGATAAACAAGATGCCAAGTCCATGCGCCATGTGAAAAAGAAATAAAAAATTTTAGTTAAAAAAACTGGGAGCGCTGCTAAATAATATTCTAACAATATTAAAATTAAATTGTTACTTTTAAACTCATTACAGTTAAAATATGTTTGTGTTTAAATTAATTAATGTTACTTTAAGGTGCATTGTAATTTTGAAACTTAGCAGCGCGCCCAGTTTTTTTAACTAAATTTTTTTATTTCTTTTTCACATGGCGCATGGACTTGGCATCTTGTTTATCTTTTTTTTAAAAGATAAGTTTTTTTATGGTACGATTCTACATTTGCAAATTTAAATTTTACTGATTCATTATACGACTCTATATATGTCTGCAACTTTAATTTTCCACTGGTACAAGTTTCTACTTTCACTTGGCGCAATTTTTTTTTATTTCATTACTTTTGTTACGATTGTACATGGGTTTATAATCGATAATTTTTCATACAATTCTATTGTACATGGGTTTGCAATGTAGGATTCTACATAAGTTTGCAATGGATAATTTTTAATACAATTCTACATGGGTTTGCAATGGTTAATTTTTCATAGGATTCTACATGAGTTTGCAATGGTTAATTTTTCATAGGATTCTACATAGGTTTGCAATGGGTACGATTCTACATGGGTTTGCAATGGTTAATTTTGCCTAGGATTCTACATGGGTTTGCAATGATTAATTTTTCATAGGATTCTACATGGGTTTGCAATAGGATAGGATTCTACATGGGTTTGCAATGGATAATTTTGTTAATGGCGTGCCCTTAACTGGTCGCCTTTTTTTATTTTTTTTTAAAGGTGAGTTTTTAGAGATTATATTCTATTCTTCGAATCGTCATTCTATGATTCTATGTAATTGTCGCGAAACAAATCTCTCGCTAATTGTTCGGTTAGGAGGTCGGTTGCGAATCTCGATAACAGCAATTGTTAATATGTCTATAAAATCATTGTATACGAAAAATTAACATTTCGATAACAATTGCTGTTATCGAGATTCGCAACTGACCTCCTAACCGAACAATTAGCGAAAGATCTATTTCGCGACAATTACATAGAATGACGATTCGAGGAATAGAATATAAAAATGCTCATACTTTAAAAATGCGTTGATTTTGTTTTCTAAAAAAAAAAATAGCTTGACGTAGTTTTATGCGAATAACTGTGTTTTCTGTATAGTTTTATTATATTGACAGTTATGAATAATTGATTGTTAATTTCTATTAATCTTTATTTTTTAAATGATGCGCTGAAAAGGTTGAAAAAGGCAACCGAAACGTTGGAATTTATTTCTGTCTAATATTTATGTTATAAATCTTTTTCAACAAATAAATATTAATGAAAGAACTTAATTAGCTCTTATTACCTTTTATATGTATATTAATTTTTAAAGAGCTGTTACAAATTATATCAAACTTTTTAAGTAAAATTAACACCCTTTCCGTAGTCGAAGTAGATAAAATGCATTATATGTATATAAACATTTTTGTAAAATTGATAGACTTTATATTTAAATAAATGGTGTATTTTTTTGCACTTTTTTTCTCTAAGTTATTCATTATTTATTTTTTTTATTTTATATATTTTTTTATTGGAAATTTTTATTTTCTTTATTTTCAATTTTAATAATTCTTATATCTTGAAGATTTATTTTTGTATTTTTATTATGAATTTTAATTTTTGTATTTTTATTATGGGTTATGATATTTTTATCTTAGATTTTTTTATTTTTTTTTTTGCAATTTTATTTTATTTTTTTTTTTTGTTGTTGGATTTTTATTTTTGCTTCACTGCTTTTTGTACATTCTCAGAGAGAAGTCGACGTTCTATGCACTTTCTTTTCTCGTTCTTTATTTGTGTTTTTTTGTTCAATTATTCTTACTATTAGCAAAGATATTATTTTTTTATTTCAGATTTCTGAAAACCAACATGATGTTTCCAAAATTATCATTATATATATTATTATACGTCACTGTAATAGCACTGGCCATTTTTACCAAAAAAACGCAAAAGTAAAGTGCCGTAGCGTACCTAATTACCGTAATTCATCGAATAACAACTGTATAATACCGATTCATTACAATCTGGACATCGCATTGTTACCAGAATTTTCACCCAGTGGCGAGTTAAATGCCACTTTTTATATTAATTGTGAAATATCAAACATAACTTTACATATTTCAAAATACATGAATATAAAAGAAGTGAATTTTAAATCGCTTGATAAAACAATCCATATTCCAAATTTTAATTCTATTTATCTGGAGGACATTGCTATTTCGATTTTGTTGAATATTTATTGCCTAATAATACAAACTTAGATTGTGGAGTTTACACTCTGTACGTAAGATATGACGTATCATTAATTAATCCGAATTTGAAATTTTACTATATAAAAGGAGAACCTAATGATATTATTAGAACGTAAGTATATTAAAAGTACTATAATAAATTATAATTAAAATTAATTAAAGTAGTATAAGAAATAATAAATAAGTAAATATGGTATATTAAGAATAAGCTAATATTTATGTACACATACCAGGTGTGGCAATAAAGAAACTGGATTGATTTTTTCCTCATTTCCGACCACGTCGATAACGAAGAGGAGAGCGGGGCATTGACTCGTGGACTCCCCTCTACGCTCACAAAAAGTTTCACGCATGCGCTGCGGTTAGTCTGGTCATAGCCGTTGTTAGAAGCGGATCGTGTATCTGAGCTCCGTCGGAATCATGTTACGTGCTAATGTAGAACAACGTGTTAACATCAAATTCCTCACAAAACTAGGAAAATCTGCCACAAAAACTTACAATTTATTGACAGAAGTTTATGGTGATTAATGTCTATCTCGCACGCAAGTTTTCGAGTGGTTTAAGAAGTTTAAGGAGGGTAGGGAAGACGTCGGGGACGATTCAAAATCGGGCCGTCCTTCCAACTGCAAAAACTGAAGATAATATGGAGAAAGTCAGTAAAATTGTTCAAGGAGACCGCCGCCTGAGCATTCGAGCAATTTCTGAACTTACTAACATCAATAAAGAATCTGTCAGACAGATTTTGCACGACGATCTGGACATGAAAAAAGTGTGTGCTAAAATGGTGCCAAAAATTTTCACACCCGAGCAAAAGGAACGTCGAGTGAATTACTGCGCTGACGCTCTTGAAAATATTGAAAATGATCCTGATTTCCTCCAAAACATAATTACGTGTAATGAAACTTGAATTTTTCAATATGATCCAGAGATTAAGCGACAATCCATGCATTGGAAGAGATCTTAATCCCCTAGAATGAAGAAAGCGCGCATGAGCAAATCCAAATTAAAGCGATGATGATTGTGTTTTTTAATATCCAAGGAATTTTCTACATTGATTGGGTGCCTGAAGATCAGATGGTCAATCAGATTTATTATAAAAATGTTTTGAATAACGTGTGCGACGAAAGAGACCAGACATGAGGAAGAATGCATCATGGATTCTTCATCAGAACAACGCGCCGGCACACACCGCGCTATCTGTGTGAAGCAATATTTGGCGAAAAACAACATTCTAGTGATGGAACATCCACCGTACTCGCCGAATCTAGCACCGTGCGACTTTTTTCTCTTCCCGAAAGTCAAATCTGCGCTCAAAGGAACCAGGTTCGAGTCCATGGATGCAGTGAAAGAAAAAGCGACGCAACTATTGAACAGCATAACACAAGAAGACCTGCAGCACTGCTTCCAACAATGGAAAATTCGCATGGAGCGATGTAGGGATCAGGGAGGGGACTACATTGAAGGGGACAACATTTCAATTGTCTGATATTTTTTCAATAAAGGATTAGAGCATGAGTCCGGTTTCTTTATTGCCACACCTCGTATATGATATACAATGTTGTACTATGCTTAGATGATTTTAAAATTATCTATATATAATAAGATACATATGTAGATTAATCTTACATAAAATAAAAATTATTTTAAATTTTAATATATCTAGATAAAAATATAGTGATTCATTTAGATAATATTATCTAAATCGGTTAATTATGTAAACATAATTATAAAAACAATGTAAGTTATAAAAGGGATATATAATATATTCATTTTTTTATTTGTACGTTTTTATCGCTCTATCTGCTTTAGTTTTATTAGATAAGTATATATTTATTGCTAGGACTTTAAAGCAAATTATATCTGAATATTATTCTAGATATAATTAAATAAGAATAACATTATTTTTATCTAAGGTGCACAGATATGGATAATATATATTTTTATTAGTTATATAAAGATAAGTTGACATCAAAATTTTATCTAGATTAGCATCTATATAATTTTATTTATTATAGATAACAGTAAACATTCTAATATATTTTTTAAATATTATCTATAAATTTCTCTGGTATATTCTGCAATCTTTAATGTTTCTACACAACAACTGCTGAAAACTTATCGTTATCTAATTTAAAGCGTTTGTCTTTAAAATTTAGGTGGTTATTCGCACGTTTTGTCCAATCGAGAAATGCTCGACAATTATTTCCATGTTGGGACGAGCCGAAATTAAAAGCCACTTTTAACATCTCCGTCCAACACGATCAAAAAAACAGTGCTATATCAAATATGCCGTTACGAAAAATCGAATTTGAGTATACCGGGTTGACGCGTGCACGGTTCCACATTGCACATAAAATACCTGTAAACGATGTCACGATTATAGTGTCCGGTTGGCTGGAATTTATTATTTCCACGAAGAACAAAATCTCTTTTTGGTGCAAAAGGAACTTGATACCTTACATGAAATGGGCGCAATATGTTGCAGGAAATGTAACCATGTATTTAGAAAATAATTGGAGGATTATTTCGAGAAGCGTGCCGAAAATAGATTACGTTGTTATTCCGATGGAGTTTTCCGATTATATCAGGCCGACTTATGGAGTGGTTTTATTCAAGTAATACATTTAATTATGAAAAAAATTTAATTATAGCTTAATATACAGTTGTAATATTATTTTTAGCTTTAAAGATTTAATAATTCAAAAACATTAATTTTTCTACACTAATATTTTGGCATACTTAATCAGTTATACATATATGTAACAGATATATGTGTATGTGTGTATATATATAAGTATATATATACATATATATATATATATATATATATATATATATATATGACCGCATATTTATGAGTTTATTTAATCTAAATTTTAAATTTTAAAATATATATATATATATATATATATATATGTATGTACATATAGCATTTATGTGTTTCATTAAAAATTTAAATTATTGATTTAGGAAGTTTAAATATTAATACTACAAATATGTGTTTATTTTCTTACTATTGCATTCATTGCATGAGTAAAAAAGTAGATAGAAGTGAAAATGTATAAGAAAGTTTGTACTTTGTATTATTTTTTCTTTTATTTTTGTATTAATCAATTTTTTGTTTATTAAATAAAGTTAATTAATATGCACATAATAATAAAAATATTATTACATAATAATATAATAATTATATAATAACATAATAATAATAATAAAATATTAATATAATATTAATATCTCTCAAAAAATGTCGACATAAATGATTTATATACAATTTTTAGAGAAACAAATATTATCTACTCTGAAGAATTTTATCCTGTTGGATTTAAAATGTTATCAATGCGTTCAGTAACTCACATTATACTAAATCAATGGTTTCATAATTTTTTCCATCCGTCATGTCGATCTTACAGATGGTTGAACGAAGGCTTTATTGTGTTCCTCGAATCATATATAATTGATAAGGTTGTTTCACATTTATTAAGCTAATTATAAAATTCCATTTTATATTACGACAATATAAAATATACTCAAATTGTCATTCGTTAAGAATAGAAAACATCTATATATTCAAAATATTTACTTGTGTGTGTGTGCAAATTTATTTAAATTATAATAACATAATATACATGTACGTATGTGTATATGTGTATATATATTCAAATTTTTACAATAATTTAACTAATTAAAAAAATTTTGCACACAAACCCAGAAATGTACATATATTTTGAGTATATTTAATAATATATTTTTATATGTACTTGCAATTGTTACATATTACTCATAAAAATTCTATAAAATTGTATAAAATTATAATATCTAATATAAAAAGCTTTAAAAAATATAAATGCTTTTATTTCCTTAAGGGGGGAACAGGGGATGTATGGAATTAAATCTCTTGTAGAGATTATTCCAATTTTAAATCTTGGCCTTGTCCAAGTAAAATTTAGTGCCTTGTGCACAGGTTTTTAATCCTAAAGAAAAAATTTAGTTTGTTGGGATAACGCACTGTCATCCGCGATTTGGCTCTTATTGCCTGTTTGACACTCTCAATTTATATTTATATTTATATTACAGAGCCTTGTTAAATTCTTAATAAAAGCTTTTATTAAATATAAAAACTTTTTCTGGAATTAACAAATAATTGTACACAATAATTAATATTATTAATCCAAGCTTCTTTTTCTTTCTACAGACATTTCCAGATTCTCGGATGATGGACTTGTTTGTAGTTCAAATTCGACATGATTCTCATTATTTACATCCATTTGCTATAGATCATTTTAAGAAATATTCTAATTATATATTTAAAATTAAGTCTCTTTCTCCTTTTTCTCATATTATGGGTATGTTTGTATGTGTACTTGAATAATATAATGTAATTTGACTAGTATAAAGTATATTTACAAATATATAAATAAAATTTGTAAATAATATGATTAAACAATAGTTGAATGGCTGATTATAAATATTTAAGATAAGATAAAAAATTTAATTTTACATTTATTTATTATTTTTATTCTGCTAAAAACAAAGGAAAATTAAATTTAAAATTATTTCTTTTTTATTATAATAGTTCTGTTTATGAATTTATGAATACGATGGGGTTGAATTTGTAAATAGAATATATATGTATATGACTTTAAACATATTTTATATTTTTATTACAGGAGCAGCTCTATGGCGCATGTTAGAAAGAATAATTCCATCTAACGCATTTTGGAAGGGCATTAACGAATATTTAAACAAGAAGTAAATAATACAATACTTACAATGTAACATAATAATATATACAAAAATATTTTTATTTTATTATTTTTATTGAGACAAGGTGTTTCTTATAGATTTTCGAAAATCTTATAGTATAATATAGTATAATATAATATAAATCTTATAGTATATTGAAAACAATTTTATGCTAAAAACGATGACGCAAACCATATTTCACTAATACCTGAAGTTTCCGAAATAATTGAGGTTCAATATGCAAAAAATGTTTTTTTTTAATTTTTGAGGTTTTTTTGAGAATATGTTTAACACTATTTAAGAATTCAGCCAAACTCCATATTTAAATCCTTCCTAACATGACTAAAAAGTAAGATATTGGAATAAAGATAATGCATCTTATAGAGGATAAACTGTTGTTCAACCCCCCCCCTCTCCCGCTCCCCTCCCGCGTTATGATATGATGAAAAGATTTTTTAGATAACATGAATTTTTTATTTTAAAAGTCTCATAATTATCACACAAAAACTTTTTTTACTGATTACATCTCAATTGTTTTGGGAAATCGAAGTGCTAATGAAAAATTTAGTTTGCGACATCATTTTCAGCAGTCAAAATTTTTTTAAATTACCTTGTCTGGTTTAAAATAATTTTTAGCTTTAAAATAGTGTTTTTATTATCAAAATACATAGAGACACACATACAGGAAAATAAATACAAAATAATAGCAAAATCTTAAAAAAATATGCCTAAAAAGCTTTTCTAAAGAAGATAAAAACTGTACGCTGACATATATGAAAGTATTCTAGTAGATATATTCAATGACTATGGGAACTTGCATAAGTAACATTAAAAAATTAAGAAAAGTTAAACATTGATAAATATTATTAACTTTGTTAATTAATAAGTAAATAAAGACAGAGATAAATGTAATAGAAATACATAATATATATAAATATTCACATAAATGTTCAACTAATATATTTTAAGATTTCTTAGATATAACATATTTAATATAAATATTAAAATAATTAATTTAAGAAATACATTTAAACACGTACTGCAATTTATTTATATTTCATTAATTTAAAATGTATATAGATTATTTTATTCGAAGTGCGTGTTTAAAAATTATTAGAAACTTATTTCGCTCTTTATCATAATTTAATTTTCGTAAGAATCGGCATTAATCAAAGTGAATTATGCCAGCTATATTAGTGAAAACGTATAATTATCATAATTTTATATTTTCTGATTGCAATTTAATGATGTGCGATGTATTATTAATTGTTACAATTTTAAATTTTACAGATTTATTTCTTATGATACGGTAAATACTCCCAATGATTTATGGAGCGTTATGCAGATTGTCATAAATGAATTAAATCTTACAAATTATAATTTGGACGTAAAAGAGATGATGGCTTTTTGGGCTATGCAGCAGCATTGTCCCGTGTTAAATGTTACACGATACTATTCTAGAGAACGTGCGAAAATGTTTGTAGAGTTTGAGGACGACATGAATCACAAACCTAATTTTATACCTGTCACTTTTACTGAAGAAGCAAATATTACGAATTTTAACGTAACTGCTTCAAATATTTATTATTTGACGCGCTCAAAACCAATATTAGACATACCATTATCTGAACCAGAAAATTGGGTAATTTTGAACTTACAACAAATTGGTAGGTAAATATAAATCATAAAGATTAATATATTTTGATTCTCTTATTATACAATAGATATATCCTTTTCACTTATTTTATTTCTAATATTCTTTTATAAAGAATTAAAATTACATTTCACATAAGATCTACAATAAATAATAATATTCCTTTAAAATATTCCGCAACATTAAAATTTATATAAATATGATGTTTTTTTTCACTTTCCGGGCGACTGCTCTTACCACTATTTTTCCCTAAATATTTCTTTCTGATTTTATTCACGCCTTGGCCTAATCACGGCGTTATTTACTAACATCTACTAAAAAGCAAATGAAAAATATAGGATCGAAAGGGTCTGAATAGCTTAGTTGGTAAGAGCAGTCGCCCGGAAAGTGAAAGACGCGGGTTCGATTCCCGCTTGAGTGACTTTTGGGACCTATATTTTTCACGCCTATTTCTCCATATGTAAGTTTCGAGATTAATTTATATATGGAACTTAGTGATCTCAAACCAAGAGATACAGTTCCGAATAATTAATTTTTCGTGCTTTGGCTCTGTTGACCGATTTAAAAAAAAAAAAAAAAAAAAAAGAAAACATCATATTTATATTCTTTATATTGAGAGCCAATAAAAATATTTCTTTCTGATTAAAATTTATGATTAAACACAATTTGCATAGAAATATTATACTAGTTTACAACAAAAATTATTTTAGAGCGGACAAAGTGTTTCTTATAGATTTTTGGATGCTGAAAATGATGTCGCAATACAAATTTTCAAAATTATTGAGGTTTAATGTAAAAATGCCGTTTTCTTGCAATATTAAAATTTTTGTAAAAAGATTAACATTATCTGAAAAGTCAGAAATGCAATTTTATAGATGATAAACAATATACATTCACATGTAATCAGAATTTTTAGTTAAGTTTTCCTTTTCACAAGAAATCTCAAATATCGCATAAAAGCCATTTTTGACGTGCAGGTGAAAGTTGGCTTGCAGCATAAAATCTATAAAAACATTTTGTTCAGTTTAAAATAACGAAAAATTTTAACTAGTGTTATTTTTCTATCATACTCAGTTTTGTTTATACAATTCGCTTGATATATTAATCAGTTTTCAGTACTCTATTCTTTTATTTAATTATTAACATAAAATTATTTTATAATTAACAACATGTAAAAATTGTTATTATATACTGTAAAATGTGCGTCCAATTTTCAGTATAACTAATACGACCTTAAACCATTAAAAATAAAGACATTTATATACCGAATATTTCTTATTCCATATATATATTTTGACCAAAAATATTAATAAAATTGATATTGTGTGTACAGGATTTTATCGCGTCAACTATGATGATAAAAATTGGAAGTTAATTGCGCGTTACTTGAATTCTGAACAGTATACAAATATACATGTTCTAAATCGTGCCCAAATCATCGATGACTCATTTCATCTAATGACACAGAAAAAACTTAATTTTTCCATATTTTGGGAACTCTCGAATTATTTATGGCAAGAGAAGGATTTCATAGCATGGTATCCTATGTTTAAAGCTCTGGAATACATGTCGAGTATAATTCCATTTTTAAATGCTGGAGAAAATTTTCCAGAATTATTCCAGGTATTGTAAATTATATCGGTAACATTTTTTATATATTAGAAAGATCAAAAACATTGGTAAATATTTCATATTTGTTAGAAGAATTTAAAAATAAACAAATTGAAATTTCCACATTGCTTCTTCGCTATATATATTAATTCAAATATGGCTTCTTCATAGAGGAAGCTTAACTTGCACATTGATTGATCAAAATTTAATTTCACTCATTAAGATTGCTCCATGAGAAAGCAATAATTGAAAGAGAATAATAATTTTGCTTTCTCATAACGAAATTTTAATGAATGAAATTAAATTTTGATCAATCAATGTGCAAGTTAAACTTCCTCTATGAGGAAGTCATAATTTAATTAATATGGCGAAGAAGCAATGTGCAAATTTCAATTTGCTCAATTTTTTTAAATGTTCGATATTTATTTTTTAAACTTAATTTATTAAGAAAAAAATGTTTAAATAAAATTGATAATTTTTAAATAAGGTTCAAATTTGCACTCTTTTACATAAAATAATAATTTTCAAAAAGTTAGATAGATGCATGTGTATGTGTATTTATATGCACTCGCTCTCTTATATTTATTTCATAAAATCTGAAAATTTTGATTTTTTTTTAAATTCATAATTTTATAATTTACCGATCTATATTAAATTCAACACCAATTCAATTTCTTTAATTATATTTTATTCATATAAAGAAAATTTGCTCAATATTTCAAAATTTACGAAAAATAAAAATGCATAAGTATTTCTTAAAAATTTTTAATTTTATAAAAAATAAACTATCACGAATCATCGCCAAACTCAATGCCAACCCTTCTTAAATGATAGGCTATTCATGTAACAAAATTTATCCCCATATCTTAAAATTTATAAAACTTAGAGCAACAAAAGTCATTTTTAAAAAATTAAAAATTTTATAAAAAATGAACCCTTTTACCGAACCTCGTCAAATTCAATACCAACCATCCTTTGATGGTAGTCTATTTATGTTCGAGATTCGAACGGTAATAACCCGCGGACAAGAAAGCGTTAAAATATTCATGCATCTCGATCATGTCTCATGCAGCATGCATATAATTTATTAATTAATATCGTGGTCTAACATGCGTATTTTAAATTATATTTAAATTAGCGCTCGGCCGCGAGAGTATACGGATACTCCGCGCCTTCGAAAATAAGCGCTTAAAACAGTCTAAATTGTAAACACCGCTGTCGCGCGAGAGGAGAGAAAAACAAGTAAATAATTACAGTAAACGTTCCTTCGCCCTTAATATCACAATAGAACGACAGCAAATGTACTCGAATATTCTAGAATTACAAGGCCTATATAAGCCTCCTCTCTCGCGACCGCGGCGCGCTTTTTCCGATTGCTCATCGCGAATAAAGTGTGTTCATACGATAAAGATTGCTTGTCTTTGTCTAATTCATTACCGTTGCTTGCGGACACTTAGTAATTTACGATTCGGCTAATTCTCTCGGTAAATTCGGTGCGGTATATTAATTGTAATTTTTGTTAATAGTTTATATAAAATATTTTTTTTGTGAACGTTACGCGTGTGTCGAGTGTTGTGTCTATTTCTCGGTCTCGCTTCCGACCACGTCCTATCCATCTTTCCGTCGCGCCCAATTTATATTAAAAGATATATCAAGATATTTTAAAATTTACCAAAGTTAGAGCAACCACGGATATTTCTAAAAAAAATTCAAACTTTTATAAAAAATGAAATACTTTATGATTTTTCTAGAAATTACAGCGAATAAAACTATTATTTTACTTTACTTGTATGCCAAATTAGAGCGCTTCAAGTCCAATAATTTTTGAGAAAAAAAAAAACACAAATGTGGATGTGTACATACATCCGTATATACATACTTATTTTTTAAAATGTGTGTTTTCGATGTTTTGAAACATTCTAAACACATTGGTATAGAAATCTGAAAAAAATGTTTTACCAAACAAAGCTTCCTTCATGAGGAAACAAAAATTAAATATTTTATTCCTTAAATTAAATACATTACTGCCCAAACACAAACTACGCTTTTAATAGAATTATCCACATTATCCAAAATATTAATTTAGGATGATTAATACATAATATTCACATTAATGGGGCATCAATATTTTTTATTTGTATATATATTCATATAAGACGAGGACTTTATTATAATTCCTATAAACTTTTATAATACTTGATTAATTGGTGTAACAATTTATCTTCTATCAATAGCTACAGCATTATATGTTCTTCCCTGAGGTCAAATATCCTTTTGAGGAGCAACTGTAATCACAAATTTAATATCAACTATCCCTTACATCGATAATTTGTTAGTTCAATGAATTTGAGGAGGATTTTCTATTAATAATGCTACTTTATAGAAATAAATATTAAATTAATAATTAAAATCCAGTAACTTAATAATTAAAATCCAGTAACTTAATAATTAAAATCCAGTAACTTAAATTAATAATTAAAATCCAGTAACCTCTACAATGCATCAGTTTATCAATTTCAATTTCTGTCAATTTATGTATATAATAAATATAATAAATAGAATTATGTCTAAATGTCAACGGTATATAAATTAATCATATATAATTAAAATTAATTTTAAAAATTTACTAAAATAAATAATAAAACATTTAAAATCTAACATGAGAGATGCAATAAACTAAATATACAACGGTAAGTTTATATATTTGTGAATAAAACTATTTTTAATAAACTAATAATATAAATAAAATAAATATAAAGAATTAGTTAAATCAGTCCTAGTATAATATAGCATATAATACGTAAAATATAAGCAAATTAATTTAAATTTTATAATCAATTTCAAAAATATATTACAAACCTGTCAAATAAAGTTTGAATTATAAATACATATAAAAAAAAAAATAATTACATCGTTTAATAGCATTTATTTTAAGTACAAACAAGAATCTTAGTTATTATTCTACAAATCAATTTTTAACAACAATTGAGTTTTTTTATGATTTTAAAAGAATGTAATATAATATATCATTATTTTTTTATTTACAAACCCGTGCATTACATAATACAGTTTTACAAAATTGAAATTTTGTTTATTATTATATACCTATGTAATATTTATGACCTAATATTTAAAAAGGAATAAATTACATAAAAATATACATTTTATGAAATATTTTTAAACGATACTGGACAACACGATTATATTGTATATTATATAATTTGTGCGTATTAGATTTATTTTTGTAATTAATTTAATAGAAAAATATTTTTATCAAATTATAGTCATTAGAAAAATAAAAAATCTGTTTGAACGTGTAGCAGAACAAATATACAATCACACGGCACCCACTAAATACGACATTGATAAATATTTAATGCAGGAAATTGCAAAATGGAGTTGCATTATGAATAGTACTTTATGTATTGAAAAGGCCAAAAATCAATTGAGATTGCATATAGAAAATCCTCAAAAAAATAGGTAAATTTCATTTTAATTATATTATGTATTTATATCAATCAAAGAATAAATGTGTCAACAATTAAAATATTTCTTTTCTATACATCGTAGAATAATGACTGGATGGCATAAATGGACATATTGTAATGGTTTAAAAAGAGCGAACTACACTGTTTGGAGCCAAGTATGGACAGAAGCAACTACTAAATACCAAGAAACATCTGATTATACAATGTTTGAATTTCTTACTTGCATCGAGAATCCCCAAGTTCTTTTTTATCTGAAGTCATTTTTAAGGAGATTTGAAATGGATTTGTTCTTTAATAATAAAAATAATGAAACGCAACAAGAGATACAAAATCAACAGTTTAAAATACAAGTTAAAGTTTTTTTCTCTATTCTTGCGACACATGCTAAAAATAGTAAAATATTTTCAGAAATATTAACAAATTGTAATGATATAAAATTTAGGTAAATATTGCATACGGACGCACACATTTTCTTTATAAAACATACTAGTTATATTGATAAAAATTAATTAATATGTATGTGTTAATTATAATTCTCTTCTCTCTCTATATATATATATATTGCTTTAATTTTTTAGCCATATCAATATTACTGCAGCATTAATTGTGCTTATTAATAATGCATACTCTGTAAATCAACTTGACCAGGTAAAGCTTATAAATTTCAAAAAAATTTATATTTTTATTTGTAAAATTAGTAAAATTCTCACTCTAATATTTATATCTAATCGAAATGTATACCGCCATATCATATATTGCATGTATAATGTATAATTAACTGTAAATTGCACGATAACTAATAAAATTATATATATTTTTGCGTAATATATTGTATATATATTTTTTATTACAATGTAGAGAGAGATTACAATGTACAAGATACAATGTTTTTCTCTTTTTCTCTTACATGCTTGTGTATATATGTATTGACATTTTATGATTAATTAAAAAATTACTGATTAATAATAATAAATAAAAATTTATTTCAGATATCTGCATTCGCGAGCCAACATATGCAACAATTATTTCCAGAAGTTATCCAGAAGACTGTAAAACGTTTAAAACAGATTAAAGATCAGCTGAATTTTTTTCATAACTTGATCAAAGAATCCAACAAATACATGGTACGGTAAAATTACTAACTGAAGTTAGCTCAAATAACTCAGTTGAGTCAACTATAAATGTAATAATAGATACGTTAGCGAATAAAACAACAGACATATAATACAAACATAAAATTGCAATAATTACATAAGTTAATAAAACTGCAAAACTACCTCAATTATGAAATTTCTCAAAATATTATATAAAATTGTATATTAATTTTTTTATATATTTATTTTTAACATTATTAACCACAATATTTTATACTTATTTATTAATTTTAATTATTTTTTTATTGTTTATAATTATATATATATTATCATAAATGTTAAATTGACTTTTATACTATTTTATTTCAATATTTATATAAACATTGATTACTTTATATAATATTTATTATGTAATATGCATATAAATTTATATACATATACATATACACATATGTTCTATATGTAGTAAATAATAAAACATAAATATATATATTAAAAAAATATTTATTATTTAATTAATATGTTTACATAATATTAACAATAGTTTAACTATTAAAATAAAATTTTTTATTTGATATTTTATTGTATATTAATTTGTATAATAATTACTATATTTTATTGTTAATGTATTTAAAGTTTTATATTAATTATTTAAATCTGTAAGAGTAACAAATACTATATTAATGAGATTAAATGTAATAATAAAGTTAATGCCAAAAATATATATTCTTAAACGTTTTGGTACCTTTTGAGAAATCTTTCATATTTTCTTAAATACATAACATTGGCGAATATTATTACCGTTAATTTATTCTTTATAAAACAACTTCCTCTATATAAAAATGTCTTATTCTTACTGTGCTTTTAAAATCAATTTTTATATAATCATATCTTATTAAGGCATTTCTATTTTATTACTAATTAATCGCATGTACCATTATAATAGAAAGTTTTATTTTATCAAAATGTGGACGTTTTTCATTAAATTTAAATACAGTTTGATTTCTTAAAAATTATATAAGTAACAAAAATCCGGTAAAAATAAAAAAAAATATGAAATAATGTAAAAATCAGTGAAAATTAAACAATATATATACACATTTTTTGAGGTATAAAACATACAATTTCCTGATTGGATTTCTTGTATGCTTATTAATTTCGAGGCAATTTTAAATGTTAAATTCAAAGTATCTTTTGAAAACTGTTCAATCGTGTATTTTGACTTTCATCGATCTATAGTAACAATGGAATAAAAGACTCTTGTTATATGTAATCTTGTAGTTTTCTTTATGCATTTTATATTGTATCGCAAACATTGTCAGTCTTCGATAATCTCTCGAAAAGCAAAATTAAGATTGAGCTGGTGAGCAACATACTTTTGGCTAAAATAACGTTTCTGTAATTCAACAAATAAAAGCATATAAAGATCTCTAAAATACTAAATATTTGAATATTTCTTTCAAAATAAATGTATATAAAAATATGTTGAAAAGATATGATTGCAGAGTGTATTTTTTAAAGAATATTTTATTTAGTTTTTAAGAAAAAATAATTCTTATTTCAACAATTATACCCACACAACACATGGACGTAATTACAACATAATTTGGATGTCCGAAGCGAGCACCAAGGACATCCGATGGACGTCCCGTGTACATCCTGTGGATGTATTAAGGATGTCCTATGTTCCGCCTAACAACATCCATAGGCTATAAATGGGACGTCCAGCGGATATCCTTAGTGCTTACTACGGACATCCAAAGTATGTAATTATGTGGATATAATGACTGCATTCAACAGAAAAAGAGCACAATGGCCAGTATTCATAGTCAGATCTTATATTTAAGATCGTCTTAAGATCTCGTTCAACCAATCAAATGACGTTATACGGCTATTTGATTGGTTAAACGAGATCTTAAGACGATCTTAAATATAAGATCTGACTATATCTTTATATTTTCTGCATAATATATTTGAAAACATTTAGGTTCTGTAAAAACATTTTTAATTTATTTCATCCTATAACAAATTTTTATTTTAGACTTTCTGTTATTTCTTTTTGCAATTTTACTTTGTGTCGTTTGAGTTTTTATTTTTGTTTCATTGTTTTTTTGTATTTCCATAGGAGTCGACGTTATGCATTTTTTTCTTTCCACGTTTCTTATATTTATGTATATTTGTACAATTATTCTTACTATTAGTAAAGAAATTATTTTTCATTTTCAGATTTCTAAGAACCAACATAATGTTTTAAAATGAGCATTAAATATATTATTATACCTTTCTGTAATAACAATGGCCACTTTTACCAATAAAAACGCAAAAATTTAAGTGCTAATAGCGTACCTATATATATGTATATATAATTGCTCTAATTCATCGAATATAACAATGTATAATCAAGAGACACGGTAGTGTCTCGCGACCAGTTAAGGGCGTAGCGGAGACACCGTGTATCTTAACGCGAATCGGACATTTGAGTCTTTATAATATTTCGAATCCTCAATAATGGCTGAAGCAATCGAGTTTATACTAGACTTAATCGATAGATGAGTTCGAATTATATAATTAAAACTGTCTTTATTTCTGCTCTACGTGATTTGTAAGCAAGAGATATATAAAATGCAAAGTCGAAATATGAAAAATTTCTATTAAGAAACTCCCCGTCATCATTAGGTAAAAAAAGGCGACCAGTTAAGGGCACGCCATTAACAAAAATTATCCATTGCAAACCCATGTAGAATCCTATCCTATTGCAAACCCATGTAGAATCCTATGAAAAATTAAAATCATTGCAAACCCATGTAGAATCCTAGGCAAAATTAACCATTGCAAACCCATGTAGAATCGTACCCATTGCAAACCTAGTAGAATCCTATGAAAAATTAACCATTGCAAACTCATGTAGAATCCTATGAAAATTAACCATTGCAAACCCATGTAGAATTGTATTAAAATTATCCATTGCAAACTTATGTAGAATCCTACATTGCAAACCCATGTACAATAGAATTGTATGAAAAATTATCGATTTAAACCCATGTACAATCGTAACAAAAGTAATGAAATAAAAAAATTGCGCCAAATGAAAGTAGAAACTTGTACCAGTGGAAAATTAAAGTTGCAGACATATATAGAGTCGTATAATGAATCAGTAAAAATTTAAATTTGCAAATGTAGAATCGTACCATAAAAAACTTATCTTTTAAAAAAAAAGATAAACAAGATGCCAAGTCCATGCGCCATGTGAAAAAGAAATAAAAAAATTTTAGTTAAAAAAACTGGGCGCGCTGCTAAGTTTCAAAATTACAATGCACCTTAAAGTAACATTAATAATTTAAACACAAAACATATTTTAACTGTAATGAGTTTAAAAGTAACAATTTAATTTTAATATTGTTAGAATATTATTTAGCAGCGCTCCCAGTTTTTTTAACTAAAATTTTTTATTTCTTTTTCACATGGCGCATGGACTTGGCATCTTGTTTATCTTTTTTTTTAAAAGATAAGTTTTTTTATGGTACGATTCTACATTTGCAAATTTAATTTTTACTGATTCATTATACGACTCTATATATGTCTGCAACTTTAATTTTCCACTGGTACAAGTTTCTACTTCACTTGGCGCAATTTTTTTTTTATTTCATTACTTTTGTTACGATTGTACATGGGTTTATAATCGATAATTTTTCATACAATTCTATTGTACATGGGTTTGCAATGTAGGATTCTACATAAGTTTGCAATGGATAATTTTTAATACAATTCTACATGGGTTTGCAATGGTTAATTTTTCATAGGATTCTACATGAGTTTGCAATGGTTAATTTTTCATAGGATTCTACATAGGTTTGCAATGGGTACGATTCTACATGGGTTTGCAATGGTTAATTTTGCCTAGGATTCTACATGGGTTTGCAATGATTAATTTTCATAGGATTCTACATGGGTTTGCAATAGGATAGGATTCTACATGGGTTTGCAATGGATAATTTTTGTTAATGGCGTGCCCTTAACTGGTCGCCTTTTTTTACCTTTTTTTAAAGGTGAGTTTTTAGAGATTATATCATTCATTTTTGTATATTTTTATGACCGGAATAGAACAATTATTAAACATGTTTATCTAAACTTCTTTGCTTAAAATGATGTGTACAATCATATCCTAGAATCCTGATCATTCCTCCTAAAGCACCCTATTTATATAAATTACCCATATGTGTGTGTGTGTGTGTGTGTGTGTGTACTAATGTCGAGCATTTTTATACATTTTCTATTAAATTTAGATAAAAGTTGCAGGATTTCGAAAAAGAAAAAGTTGACACAGACTTTTTCCTAAACGGCGATTTTCAAGGTTATTTAAAGGTCACTTATATTTTCAAAATAGAATTACCTTAATTTTTCTCATATAAATCGATTCCTCGCAATATTTACTATAAAAAGTTGTAAAGGTATAATTTTTACATAATCTTACATAAACTTCGAAATATTACAAATATTTTATTTTATGAAATATTTCAGTTTATGTAAAATTATGTTAACTATCTTTTAAATTATTCACTTTTAGCCATCTTACCCTTACAACCTTTTATAGTGAATATTGCAACAAATTGGTTTATATATATAATATATATATAACATCAGTTATTATTAATTGATGTTTACATTATTTTTAGACTTACTAGAGCTCAAATGCTCCACATTTTTTGCAAAAACTGTTTATTCTACAGATTTCAAATATGCTTTTAAATGATGATTGAATATTTCCTTTTTTTAATTATTTTTATTATTATTTTTCAATCTCAATCAACTTTTATAACTTTATGCCAGCACGATACAAATACATGTGTCTTTATTTTTTTTATTATTTTCATTATTTTTTCAATCTCAATCAACTTCTATAACCTTATGCCAGCAGGATACAAATACATGTATGTCTTTATTATTGTATCAACTCTTGTCTTTTCCATGTAACCATGTCTTCATAGTTTGAATTATCCTTCATCTTCTCAATCTTTCGCAGAGATTTAATTAATAAAACACTTCACACGAAATAAAGTTTGCTGGAAGATATACAGCAAACGATAACTGTAAAAACATGATTACGTGGAAAGAACAAGAGTTGGTACAGTAAAGGCAAGTAAGTAAGTACATGTAATGTATCGTATTGGCATAACGCTATATCCGCGG